TGAATATATGTAGTAAAAAAGAATGCTTAAATATGAATAATATAGGATTTATGGGTAAAAATGTGATTTTATGACCTTATTTGCATAAATTACCATAAATATGCAAATGAGGGATTTTTTTCAAAAAATTGAAATTATCATATTGTTCTATACACTTCACTTGACATGCGTGCAAATTTTCGCGGAGATCGGCCGTTTCACGGCCGAGATCTTAGGGGGGGGGGGGGGGCATAATGCCCCCCCCCCCCGGCCGTAGTAAGACTTCATATAGCCCGGCCTTATTAAACAGGTTATTATTCAAAGAAACATTTAAAGTCATTTACAAATTATAAAAACACTTTTGAGAGCGTAAAAGTGTATAGTTTACAATAACCTCACCACAAAGGAAAGTAATGAAATGCAATTTACTCACCATTTTATTTATAACGGTTGCCATGGTAACGACCCCAAATCAAGGACTTTGGAGTAATTTCAGTAATGTATTAGACAATATATACTCATTCAAGACAAGTAAAAATCCCCTTTCCAATTTATTCAAAACTGCATGACTTACCTATCATATCATATAAGCCAAGAAAATGCTATATTACCTTCCCATTGTTACCATGGCAACATGAATTAGAGTTAACAAGGTACTATATGACATGTTTTGGCTATATCTTGGGATTGGAGAGGTGATGAAAGTTCATTTTGGTGTCTATACCCAGGTTTTCAGGTACAGGGAACACAGCTAAAGCATTATTTTGGATATTAGCATATGACATCACAGCTAATTTGCATATATGAGTTTTCCCTTTCCCTGTTTTAGCGTGTATTTGTATTTTATAAACTTTACTTTAGTTAATTATGTCATGTTTAGTTTAAGGAGCCTATCCACAACAAGCTCTGCTTTTCCATAGGCTCCGCCACTGTATCTCTTTAGTTAAACTTAATGGACAATATTCTGAATAGTGTGTACCGGTATTGTATGTACATGTATAAAATAATCATTTTAAATATGTTGTTACACTCTTTGTAAAATGAGATATTGTGGAAACCAATAAACTATCTATCTATCTATCTAAACTATCTATCTATCTATATTTGCACAAATCAGAGCAAAATGACCATACAGTAGTCTGCCACTGCATATAACAAGCTGTTTCTAAGGATTGAGAAAGATAGAACATTGTGATAACTACATTAGGTGCCAGAAAATTTCATTTGATTATATGCAATGTTGGAACCAGCACAGATTCCTACCGTTAATGACCATTTATTTGCCATTGAATATAATATCATAACTGTCCGGAAGAATATTACAAACAAAATGAGAATATAAATGAGTCAAAGATAAAATATGAATGCCCCCCCCCCCCAAAATGTGTCTGTTTATTATTAAAAACGCCTTCTTTGGGCAGAAATATTATATGCGATTTGTACGAAGTCTCAGGAACTATTTTGTCACATTCCCCCTTTACCATTTTGCTTACTCTCCTGAATTTAAGTAGCCAATTTTGACCAACATTTATTCACATCTATGCCTTTGAGACTTTTGCATTGACTGTCTGAAATGATGTAACTGATAAAATATATCAAGTACATCTTCGAGTTGAACCTACAAGACAAGTGTCCTTTCCATGTGATCTGAGATTTTAAGCCTACCCACAGTTGTCGCCATGACTTTACTAATAGGCCTATCAGCTTATTTGTCAATTGGATACTGGTGAATTGTGGTAAATAGATCACACACAATCACAGGTTATCGACTCTGTTGTCTGCAACAACACCTCTCTTTGTTTCATCCTGGATTGACAAGAAGGAGGAAATTAGCAACATCTACTACATGTATTTTCAATCTCACTTCATTAAACTTTCTCAAAGTTACTCCTGCAGTCAACACGTTAGTTAGGGAACGCCGTCATCTTACTCTTTAATATTTGTTTCCTACATTTCTCTTGGAACAAATATACATCTCACTTAAATATATCATGAGTCTGTGTCTGAATCGTCTACCTTGACTTCTGCCACTTCTTCATCTTCATCATCTTCCTGCTGGTTTGTGCAGGTCTGTAGTTTGCACATGTTCGTGCATATCAGTTGGTTTACGAGACAGGAAGTTTGCAGGCACGGGCAACTTGCAAAATGCTATCCCTAACATAATTATAATATTAATTATATGTGCTTATATAGCGCCTAACACTCACTTTATCGGAAGTCTCTATTAAAGCGCTCTACAATAATGCAGCATAATTACCCTGCATGGCTTTATTAGCAGAGCAGCTATCACGCGCTCTAGCGTTTCAAGGAATACATTCCTACCAGGTCCCCATTTCTTTCGCCTGGGTGGAGTGCTGCACAATATGCATGAATTTTCTTGCTGAAGGAAATTAACGTCCTGGAGTGGGACTCGAACTTACGACCTTATGATTGAAAGACGAGATGTATTATGGTACATTATATTACTATATGCATTGCCTCATGTTATTCCAAAAAGAAACAAATAGTGTTTCTGCTGGATATAATTTTCCTTCTATTTTGCTACAAACACTGCATTGTAAATTAATTTATACGGTATATAGTTTTACAAACAGAATGTGGATTTGTTACATTGCATTGTAAATTGATTGATATGATATAGCCTATATGTTACCAAACAGAATATTGATTCATTACATTACATTGTAAATTGATTTATCAGAATATTGATGTACATCAATGAACTTTAATGAAAACAATACAATACAATACATGTAAACAGATCACGAGAAGTAACTACTTACTACCCCCCCCCCCCATGAAGTACTACTACTCATAATTTCAAAACCATTGAGGATAGTTGAGTTCTGCAGAGGGTGCTACACAAAATATTTTTGTTGTGAGATAATGAAAAACTGAGTTTCAAATTTGAAAGAACATACAATTTAAATGACAAAATCATCTTTGTTTGACAAAGTCGGTTCAGAGACGGCTGAAATATCCATCAATATAACCATTTCTAATATTTGTGTACAACCACAAATATTAGATTATTTGAAGTTGAACCAGCCGTTGAAAAAAATGAAATAGCGCCTTTTACGTTTTATTCCAGCCAATGCCGATGTTTTTTGAAGGCTTTTTGTAGGCTTTTTCGTGTTGGTTATAATACATACAACCAGCCGGCCCATGTGTCGTTATTATTAATAATTGGTAGGATCGTATTGGCTAAATTTCACATATTTGGGGGTCTAAAATGACCTTCATAGCAACTTTCGGTCCTTAAAGGGCACTAGAAAGGTCATATATAAGAATAAGAGCAATAACCATGCATATGCGGTGTGAAAAAAGAACTCAACTATTCCTTTAAAATGTATCACGGTGTCATCTTACCAAAATATTGGAACAGTCGTAATGTAGATTTTGTGTGAACATCTGAGATATTCATCACTGCATGCATGGCTGGATGAGCACAGATTAAAGACAACCATGGATTAATGATAACCTTTTGTTGTTACAAAATGGTTTCCTATAGCTACCGTAAAAATATTATTGCAAGACGAAATCTTGAAACGATTCTAGGGTATGAAATTATAAGAAATTGTTTAGGGGCGTAGCTACTTTTTGGTTTGGTTTATATGGACAATCAACCCTCAATTATTTTTCTCCAAGGGGGCTCTTTTTCAATTTACAAAAAGAGCCCCCTTCAGGTTTCTCATGGGGGTTATTTTTCATGGTGATGGGGGCTACCTTTTGGAATGAAATTTGGTTTCTTAATTTTAGCCCGGCTGTATCGTATAGATACAGCATTCATAGAATCGTATATTTCAGTTAATGATTCCATCTACTTAATTACTCAAATTGCAATGTTGAAATTCTTAAACAAGTTAAACTATTCTATATCATGTCGTGTATAGATATATGTCATGTAGTCATCTGAATAATAATTATAGCATAACTTTGTAAAATTATATATTTGTTGGCAGATATTAATTGGTATACGACCATTTATTCATGTGATCTTTAAATCATGATTAAATAAAAAATCTTGTGTCCATCCGGTGTCAACTTCGGGACAGTGTGACTCGGTCATAATAAAAGTATTTACACTTCTGTTTGTTTTTGTTTTTTCACGTGTCGGTTGCCCACCCTTTTCTTCTTTTTTTTTTCTCTGTCTCTTTTTTACTCTCACTCTCCCCCTCTCTCTCTCTCTCTCTCTCTCTCTCTATCTGCCTCCTTCCCTCTCTATTCCCCTCTCTCTCCCTCTATTTGCCTCCGTCCCTCTTTATCCCCTATATCTTTGCCTCCTTCACTCTCTATTCCCCCTCTCTCTCCCTCTATTTGCCTCCGTCCCTCTTTATCCCCTATATCTTTGCCTCCTTCACTCTCTATTCCCCTCTCTCTCTCCCTCTATTTGCCTCCTTCCCTCTCTATTCCCCCTCTCTCTTCCTTTGCCTCCTTCCCTCTCTATTCCCCCCTCTCTCCCTCTATTTACTCCTTCCCTCTTTATCCCCTATCTCTTTGCCTCCTTCACTCTCTATTCCCCCTCTCTCTTCCTTTGCCTCCTTCCCTCTCTATTCCCCCTCTCTCTCTTTGCCACCTTCCCTCTCTATTCCCATCTATCTCTCTGCCTCCTTCCCTATCTCTTTTTGCCTTATTCCCTCTCTATTCCCCCTTTCTCTCTCTCTCTCTCTCTCTTTGCCTCCTTTCCTCTCTATTCCCATCTATCTATCTCTCTCTCTCTCGCGCGCGCGCGCGCTCTCTCTCTCTCGTTGCCTCTTCCCTCTCTATTCCCCTCTCTCTTCCCATCATTGGCTCTTTCTTAATTCGTTTTCTGATATTTTTGGAAGCAAACTATATTTGCAAACCTCGACATTTAAAGGTAACGAGGTGAAAAATGAAAATTATCTAGAGATTCACGCACATTTAAAACCTCTCAAAAGGCAGAAAACAAAATAGAAATGGTTAAGTTGAACAAAAAGGGGGAAAATCAAGGAAAGTGAAATATTAACAAAAGTGAAAATTAGCAAATAACAATGACGGCGTATTTTGATAGCAGTGATTACAATGCAAAATTTAATTGTTCTGTATATAATTGCCGTTTACATGTATTTACAATTGTTTATATTTGTACAAGAAGTCATTTGAAATGACTTTAAAATTGGACCAGGATCCTTATCATTTACAAAATGTACATAATCTACAAAGGTTAATTCAATTCAATATCAATATTTGTGAATTCTGCTCACAAGGATGTATATTTTCATATTTCGCTTTCTACATTTTATAATCATACTAAATTGTTTATTTACATGAAACCCTATCTCATTTCTCATGTCTATGCTCCACATTCTAGATACAATAAGCTTAAAGTCATACTCTACTAGAAGGACTACCGCAAATTCCCCTCTAGCGCCATCTCGGGTCAGCTTTTGTAGTATGTTCCCGCGTAACTGCTGTTGGTTCTCGCATCGAGTCCTGGGTAGCCATAGGATAGCGATGTGCAATACACAGTTCGCTAGAGCAGAAAGTTCAGTTTAGCTTCAAGCAGACCGAGTATTTTATATTTGAAATGTCGTGAAACAGTACACAATGTGAATATAGGCTGAAATATGATATATCACTATTTACAACAGTTTTCTTACAAAATTATGATTTAACAACCATCAGTTTTTATTTCTGATGTAGTCTTAATGAAAAACGAAACGCTTGTCTACTATTTTCATAAAACTTACAAAATAAGACGACTGATAAATTAGTACATGTATTTTCAAAGAATTGTCAACGTAAGTAGTACTGTTGATTGTCATCAATCACCAGAATATGATACATTAGAAAATAGCAATTTAATAATAATTATGATCACAATATTTTGTGAGTAATATAGAGAAACTCTAATACTCTAAAAAGGGAAGGAATGTATATTAGAATAACCTAATAGAAAAGGACATAAAATGGAATGTAACAAAAATGGCAGGGTACAACGCGCAAATGCATATTCAATATTTGGCATTTTGGCATACTGTTTTCTTGCATAAAAAGGCTTTTGTTTTAACGTGCTTATCTATAAAAATTCTTTATAACAAGAACATCGCAAAGACTTTGGTAAAATCAAGTCAGACGGCAATTCCACTGCCCTACCCCATACGAATCATGTTTGTACGACGTAATAGATCATTTAAGAGTTCGCACATTTCAATAGGTGCCGAACAAGGCTATCAAATTCACCTTCGGTTGATTTAACGAAAATCTTTGCGATCGCAATAAACAAAGAAATTGTAAAAACGCAATATACTCGATAAAACCTAAACATATCAGCAAGTGGAATGTTTTGCAAGTATAATGGCATAATAATAAGAGGAAAGCTACCGTGCCTAGGTGTAATTTAGATTATAAATGATTAATAGAGTGGAAAGATCAGATTTAAAAATGATCTTTCTTTTGACAATAAGGGATAGAGCAACGTCGATCTGGCGCTGCTCAGTGGCTGCCAGGCTCACGATCAATTGGGCAAAAAGAATTTCCGTTTCGGTTTAATAAAATTTGGAGTGGACTATTAGGCTATTATTATTATTATTATTATTATAAATTCAACTAATTCGGAAAGTTATCTCATGCTTTAAGACTCTGGTTATCAATGGCCATGTTACAAATTGATTTGCAATATGTCATCGTAAATCATGTTTCTCTATATGACTAGTGAAGATTACAAACACTTGCCTTCGTTCACCAAATTGTGTAAACATGCAATGTTAAGGAATGCTTATTCAGACGAATTTGTGTTATTTATGTTACGTATGTTGAGTTCAGTGCTTTCAAGATCTTCAAAGATATTTCCTGAAACCTTAAAATTATAAGCCTGTCTTGGCTAGAGATTCTACGAAACGGGACCTACTCTCATTCAGATTCAATCCTCGATGGTATGAATGGTCGCAATACTTCCTATAGTCTCAAATCTTTCAGCCAGTGCTTCATAAATACAACCTGACCTCGCATACATGCGTTTTTGTTTGTGCATTCATAATGCCCATGCTCTCTTCAAGACTTTTTTTCAAATACACCAACTCCCACAATCATATTTATTGCTTTTAAGATGCAAGTCCTGACCAAAGAAACAAATGCTCATCACTCTTTTTAAAGCTCTATCGCCGCTTCAGTAGACGGCAAGTGCCGGCGTTGTCTCGTCGATCGATGCTACTCGGCTACTCTTCGGAACCGAGTAATACCCATCATCGCTATCACTCGGCGACCTCCGCTCATTTCCGACATCCACGAGCAGCGCCGTTTCAACATCGGCATTTTCCGGTGCACTATTGTTATTCCCAACGGACGAAAACGCAGACTCGCTCGTCAACTTGTCAGCGGGGCTGCTCGGTTTGCGCACGGACTTCTTCAAAACGGTCGGAGAGCGCATCGGTAGGTAACTTGTTAGCGTTGTTGTGTAGGTGCCATCGATGTGGTTTTGTTTTACTTTCTCGCCGCTTGGTGGCGGTATAGCGATATCGTCCTTATTGTCGCCATATCGGAGATCGGAATCCGGAGCGCCGCTAGAGGGCGGTGTGCATTGTTTGTTGGCAGGAAGGGTTGATTGGGCGTAAGGGTGCATGTAGGGGTTCATGGATCCCAGTTCTAATCCGTCGTATACCTGAAAATTAAATCCAAAAAAATGTAAATCTATATTCACAAAAAAACGCTGTTGAACATTCAATAAATTATATCCCCCCCCCCAGATTAATTGAACTATTACAGAGGCGAAATGATGCAGTACATGTATATTTATGTAATTAATTTGGATTGCTCTATGTTTAGCATCTACCTCTGAGCGTTTATGTAATGACACTTGATCAGTAAAAGTTGCATAATATCAGTTATATACGAATTTGATGGCAAAATAATAAATTGTCTAATGGCAAATTAATCAAGTTTGAATATAATAGTTAATATTATATCTTGTCACTCGTCTTTTAAATAAAAATTTAAATTTGAATTTCAAATTGCATGAAATGGTTTTAGATATGAAACGCTATTAATGATGTATTCTTGCACAATATTTAGCATTCATATATGACTTTCCCTAAATATTAATTGTTAATACCTGAGACTCCATTGCCTCTTGGCACGACGGTGAGGGCGGGCCAGAAATATTTCCTCGCGGTAAAGTAGGGAGCTTGCGAGAGCTCATCTGCATATGCAGCATCGGGCCTGTGAACCAAGGGCAAGGGTAGGATTCTCATGTTAATGGCATTCTTAAAGCGGGACTGCACTACTTGCGCCCTCCATACAGCCAACAACGCCTAAGCGGTACCGTTGATCCCCATGGTCCCCTTTTTTCAATGTTAATTGACAGCTGATTTGATGAGATAACCACCTGTAGGGATGTCTAGTCCATACTGGCCAAACTAGTGCAGATAGGCTTTAAAATCAGATTAGCATGAAGTTAATGCGAATTTAATCAAAACAGCCTGCAACACATTCATCTAATCAAGAAAGCATCATTCATTTCTAGAACCTCTGAAACATTGAAGGGATGTCTGTTTTTCATATAAATCTAATATAGTGTGATAATTTTGAACAAAAGAGATGTTCAGTTCATTGTTCATCTAAAAGACGTCATCTTTGCATAATTCAGAAAGGAAGTTTTTATAGTGATACTGTATTGTTCCTGATAATATACGGTGTGATTTATAATTTTAACAAAACAACAGAGTCTCTAATAGGAACCACCCCATGCTTCGCATTACAGTATGCACCTTATGTACCATGGAACTACAAGTAAAATATCTTTAAAAAATATAAGCATGCTTAAATATGAATTAGCCGGGAAATAGTAAGCAAAGCATTTAGCAAACAAATAATAGGAACAAATCATTTGCCACTTCTTGAACTAGAGCAAAAATTTCAATAAAATTTGCTGTATTGATAAGAATAGGGCATGAGGCGATCACCAATCAACTTGTAAAGAGGCATATTCTATTTATTTTTAAAATTGTGTTTCATCTCATTTTCATCTTTGATCATTGATTTGTTTTTAATGTTTTTTCATATCTTTTCGTTCATTTATATTGAATTATATGGCTTACAAAGAGATGATATTGCTCATATTTTAAATTCAATTCTGTCTTTCTTTTAGAGGAAGAGTGATCAGGAACCCGTTTCACAAAGCCCTTTTTCAATGACAAATGACAAAAATAAGTGACAAATCTGCCCGGCAAATCTGCTGATAACCAAATCAGAAGCAAGGATTTCAGTAGCTTATAACAGGAAATGTAATTTGTCACTGATGACAAGTTTTGTGAAACGGGGCCCTGTTATACAAATATACCGTACCTCGGTTCTTATTCCATTTCCATGCAGCGAATACAATAAGGATGACGACCAGGCAGACGACAGCGCCCGCTACGATAGCGACCAGGCTGATAATGTCAAGGTCATTGGTTTCGTGCAATGTACTTTCCACAGCTGTCGAGAAAATAATGGGACACAGTGATTATGATGAATGGATATTAATTTTCATTACTTGGTATCCCAAAAGAAAGAGTCGTGTGCCTGATAAAAGGGCACGAAATGGTAGAGGACAAAACTATTGTACTGTACATGTCGGGGAAAACACATGCCAAAGTTTGACCGTTGAAGATAACACAATTCAGTCAATATATCTACAAAGTTTTTTTTACAGTAATTGCATACGATTTAAGCAACAAAACACATTTTGTTTTGTCTGTGTGCCTAGCACACAAGAAAATGTGGTTTTCAAACGAGACTTTTAATATCAGAACTAGTCCTCATCGCATTATCCCTGCCCATGATCATTACCAGTATTAACAGTTGATCACAAAAGGCAATATAATTAAGATACTGACGGAGAATTGAAAAAAAGTAAACGTGAGATAAATGCACGGACGCAGGGGCGTACGCAGGGGGGGGGGGGTTTGGGGGTTCAAACCCCCCCTTTGGTATTTTAATGTATGTAAACCCCCCTAAAAAAACCTAAATCCCCCCCCCCCCCCTTTGTTTTTTTTTGTTTTTTTTTGTTTTTTGTTTTTTTTTTTTTATATAAAAAAAAGATTATCCCCACGGCTAACCTAAATAAGGTGACCTTACCCCCCCCCCCCCGACGAAGAAAAATGTCAAATTTTGAAATTTTGAGACCACAAAAAAAAAAAAAGTGTCCGCTTACCCCCCCCCCCCCCCCCCCCCCCCCCCCCCCCCCCCCCCACTGAGCGACTTTTCGGCTGGCTGAGTCGTTGCGATTTTTTTTTTACCTCCAAAAAAAAGAAAAAAAAAGTGTCCGCTCACCCCCCCCCCCCCCCTCCAAAAAAACAAAAACAAAATATTTTAAACCCCCCCCCTTGAAAAAATCCTGCGTACGCCCCTGCACGGACATATCAATTCAATTCAATATGATAAAATGTTTATTATGTAAACCTGCTAACAAATAATAGACAAAATCATTGGCAGATAAAATCCAATTAACCTTTTTCTCTGTTCCTCAGAAAGTATGAAATTCAGCTCGTTAATGGCACACATAATTTGCTACTTACGCAAGGGAGGGAACATCACACGATCTGCCTCGCTGCACACGCCCCGCCCACAGCTCAGCACCCAGATCTGTGAATCCGTGACTTCCGTCTCGACCCGGAAGGGGTCGTTGAGCTTCAGACATACGTCTTCGCGTCGAGCGACGATCACTTTGACCTCGAGGCCAAAACAGAGGTCGTCGGGAAGTGGTCGGGTGTCGTTCGATTTGGGCTTGACGGTAATGAAGCCGGTTGCGATGTCGTAAGTGGCGACCACACCTGGGGTTTAAGATACAAGAGGTTTGGATGAAAGTCATATCAAACTATAATGACAATAATTGCTGAAGATTCGACGTTCGGTACACAAATATTATTGACACAAGGACACGTGTCTTATACACATTCTTTGGAACACGTTGCTATTGGATCGAGGGCTATATAGATTAAGAAATGTCTTTATTTAATTTTGCTCTTCATAACATTGTTAAAATGAATTCGTTAATAGCTTTCATATAAAACAAACGATGAACTACGCTGCATAAAGTGTGCTTGTTGGCATGGGACCATAAACTTCAAGCAAAATAAAAATGTGAAACTTACCTAGTCGATCAGGTGACAATGCTGAAAGAACATAAAATAAGAAAAAACGCATCAGCAAACATTATAATATTGATGACATACTTCTCAAATATCTTCTAGTGTTTGTCTTCCCTTTCCTGATCACAAATGTTGTGTTATTTATTTACTTTCAATCTTGCTAGTATTAAAAGTGCAAATAGAGGTTTGTCAATGAAGACACCGCCACGTGGTGTTAGGATAGATTTATAACATAAATGATTATTGTTCATTCTAAAAGCATTTCCCATAGTATTCCCGTCAATAAATGCGGATTTATAAAAAAAATCCTTACAGTGTACGCTTGAAAATAAAGCGCACACACCGTCCAGGGATGCTCATGGCGTTAGCTCAGCAACATTTCTCTTTAATACATGTGCAAGTAAAGTAAATGTTTATTTGACAATAGAGTTACACTATAAAAAAAAAAACCCTCACAAACAATTTGCAACATTTGTATCACCCATTTTAATCCTTCTGCCCCCTAAAAAAATGGATTGCAACTTTTATAAAAAAGCAACTTACGAGCAGTGGAATTTTGAGCAGGCCGCGACGCTTCACTCTCTCCGAAAACATTGTCGCCTGTGACGGTGACGTCATACAGCGAGTACGACTGCAGTGCGAGGATCTCGAACCGCGTATCGTTTAAACCGCGGTAGACCGAACACTTCTGATTGGCTCCCACCAGGCATGACGTCACGGTGAATGTTTGAACTGCGCCCCCATCGTGTCCCGGCTGCCAGACGACGGTCAGAGAAGTATCGGTGGTGACCTTTTGGTTGAATTGCACAGCGGTGGGAGGGGACGGTTTGGCTGCAGTTGAGAGAGACATAACATGTGGATGATGAGTTTGCATGTAGTTTATTTGGACGAACTTAATGTTAGTTATTGCATCTTACCCCAACAATTGTCCGAATTAAAAAAAAAATTATATTTAGTCCTTTCTGGACAAAAGCCAAACAAACATTCTAACAAACACATGTTTTGCCATTTTGATATTCTCAGGTAGAACGTAAAGCTAGAGCAGCTTAGGTCAAAAACATGAAAGTAGAGGCATTTCAAAACTGGTGTGCCTTTCAACCAGCAATTCGCTGGATATTCCCGTTATTTCAGATATCCTCAATGTATCTATGAACACGACAACCCTTTAATATCCTTTTCTTACACTTTCCGCTTAGAGTCACAAAAATCTCGGATCTTCCATAATCGTTCTCCGCCTGGCATCGATAGCTTCCATAGTGGATGGCGGGATCGATATTGAATATATGCAGGTTACTGGTCACGTGGGTAGAGTAGTCCGTCTGTTTGACCAGCACAGACGACGGATCGGTGATCGTTCGGTTATCGGGAGTGTACCACGTGATGGTTGGTTTGGGTTTCGCTTCCGCGATGCAGGTCAGCGATATCGCTTCACCTTCGTTGCCATGGGCACGGTATCCCTGCTCGTTTGTGGTGTTTGGAGCATCTGTACCAGGGTGAATGAAAATTCTAAGGATTTCGAAATGGCATGACATATCAAAGAATGTTACTTACAATATCTGACAAATTCATATATCTGAAAAGGTTTCTGCACACAGCGTCAAATTAGATTTTCAAGCAAGAGTTAAATACAAAATTAAATTTGCAGTGGCTCCATGACATTTTGGAGCCAAATTCATACTATGAACCAAGGTTTTGACCTTTTTCTACTTGACCTGTTATTTAATAACTGAGTTTCGGTTATCTTCACCGATAGAAAATGAAGAGTAACAGCTCTACTTCTGTCATGTACCACAACATTTTATCTTTTGAATATTTACGACAATTCATTGAGCCCTATTTGGCAAAAAGTTTAAGTTCAGCATCATTTCGATCCACCTTTCGACATTTGCCTGTTCCAAATATTTTGTTGTTTTCCTTATCTTTATTTGTTTGATTGTTTTGTTTTGTTTTGATTACGCAGATCTGTTATACTAGACTTACGGTAAACGATGACCTTTGTAGGTGTCGAGTGGCTTGACCCCACACCGTTGTCTACCGTACATCGGTACATCCCGGCATCAGCACGGCTAACCGCGTCGAACCTCAACGGCGCGTTACGCTGCGGTCCAACAACGTTACCGGCCTCGTCTATACGCGTCCAGCTGGTGTAGGACGCCCCCATCGGGTTACCACTTGCAGTGCAGTTGACTTCGAGATCCCGCGTCCCTTCGACCACGCTGTCAAGGGGTATCCTGGAGTGCACCGTGACATCCGAAGGAGGAGCTAGGAGGGAAAAGGGGGAAATGCCGTTTGAGAACAAACACTCGCAGTATCATATTTGGTGGTATTCTCGAAGGCGGACTAACTTTAGTCAATGGTTTAATCCACATACCAAGTATGGAATGCCAAGTGTCCATATATTTTTGAATAATTTGATACATATCCCTAAATTACCATGATAACATAATTTTATCACAGTTATGTTGTTGTTTATTAATCATGTTATTACATTTTATTTTAATTTAGTGACTGATTGAATTATTCAAAAAACATATTCATATAGACACTTGGCATTCCATACTTAGTCGGTGGATTAAACCATGGACTAAAGTTAATCCGCTTTCGAGAATACCACCCTATAAGTTTACTCTCTACAGCTACATCAAATGAGACCGACAAATGGCCCACGAGACCGCCAGCCCATGGGATTTACAAAGCCGGTCTCGCAGACCTTCTGCAAAGTAGGCCATAAGGCAGATGGCCCACGAGACCACTGATTAAGAGACCACCATGTCCGTTTTGAGGACCTTCTCGTATCTCTTCTTTTGGCTCTACAAGGAGACCGTCAATGTCGGTCTTGTAGACTAGGATGTCTTTTGTCTCTACAGTATGGAGTCCAATATGACATTTACCCAACAGATTCTTACAGCCAATCTGATTCCCTATTGGATTCTACAACGAAATAATATGATTCTCAAAAAAGCCACCGGCCGATCATTAGCCAAAACCTAGCCATGTTTTAACTGGATAAGAAAAGAGCACAAGTTTCCTATACAGGCCCCCAAAAGAACGCAATATCTGTGATCTTCAATTTCAACGACGTCATTGACATATTAATGTCATTGTTTTGCCGCCCACGATCAACATGAAACAGTTAGTGATAGTAAGTGATAGTAAATGATTTTACAACAATGGATGGAGAAAATGTGCCAAACAGACATGCTGTTAAAATAACATATTCATAAAACAATAATGACGATTATCATTATTTATCGCTTATATTTTCGTTAAAAATGTTCTGGATGCCATGGAGGTCGAGCATGCCAAATAATTCGTTGTTTTAATCACATGCTTCCTGTCTATTACCACATGCAAAATACTTTGGATTTGGTCAGGTTTATTGTGCGTATTCTCACTATGGTCTTGCTTATATACAGAAACCTCGATATATTGTTTTTTGTTGCCTTCAGTTTAAATTTGTTTTTATCATGTATTTGTTGTGTTTTTTGTAAAAAGGTAGATCACATGAGAATCAATATCTAACTAACGCACTTCCGAAGAAAAACAACCATGTATTAACTTTTATACATGTAACCCTTAATATCATCACTTTTTATCAATTGTTAAACTTGATAATATTGATCTAAATGTTAACCTTTTTTATATTTTACGTTTCGTGGGGAAAATAATTATCCTTCGGCAAAATGAGGAAAACAATGTATTTTGTAAGCTTTGGCGCCTTTTCCAGAAATATGAGACGAATTTAGGGGTGATAATATTAGAAGACCCCAACAAGATAGTTGGTCCTCCAGTAATAAGAATGGTTGGTGGCTATGTTCTTTATATTTAGTATCCCCTTCTAATATCGTTATTTTGTATGCAAAATATTTTTTGCTTGTTTGAAGGATCTATATCACTTCCTCCCATCTTTTAAAAAGAGATTAAAATACCATAATGAAGTTCAACAGTCAACCTTTACACAACAAGATAGGTTTTCTTTATTTCTTGGGGTAATTTTATGAGGCAGGTCTAACGCATTTGAACACTAGAATCTTGTTGTTCATTGTACCTATGTTTGTCAAACGTAATCATTTTGTACATTTGCTTATACTATTTTAAGCTCTAAAAGAAAACATGTATTTCCTTTTTTCTGTCCTTACATAGAATATCTGGTCGGCACGGTTCTGAACAAAGTTGGCTGCACATTGCCGTGCTCTCAATACAGCATACGAACTCCTTGTTGAAATCTGCCTTCTCGAACTGCTTGGTGTAGGAAAGGACGTTCGCAATATCTTCGGCAATCGTCGCCCTGAATTCGGATGACGTATTGTCAACCCGAGCGCCATCGTACAGCCAATAGAGCACGGGTGGAGGGGAGGTTGCAGCCGAACGGCAGCCGAGGGTTGCCGAGTCGCCAGAATTGACCGAGGTCGGGCATTCGTGCACCATAACAGATGACGGGCATACTGTGATATCAAACAGAGGACAAACAACATTCTTACATTCATGTAGTCTTTTTTTTTATTTAGACAATGTATTAAGACGTTTACTTAGAGAAAAGTCTCATGCTTCAAATGACAATGTCAACATTTATTTTCTTTAGGCCTGATCACCATCATCAACTTCATCATCGTCGTCATCATCGTATCATCAACATCATCATCATCATCAATACTGCATTCAGTAGACCAGTTAACTAAGTTATCCAAATTGTATGCATACTTCTTTAATAAAAGATGTTGTCAGACGTATGCCCGACGCAGTCAAAATATAGAATATTATTGGTATATTTTTTTTCTTCGTTAGACAACAAGTCTTCTTGAAAGAAAAAAATGAATATAAACTGTACATTTAGAGAGAAAATAATAGTACAGTCACATATCTTTGAGTGATCTGTATATCTCAATCATCCCTCATCAGTTGTTTGGTAGAAGAGCAAACAATTTCATACCTTGTACATCCAATACAACGGTGGATACCACCACCTGACCGGTCGTGGGATGCGATGCTGAGCAACGTAAAACCTTTCCCGAATCCTGCATTCCCGGGGTCACGTGGACAACGCGATATGACGTCACCAGCCCGCTATCGTCGCTGCTCGGTTCGTCGACTTGATCGCCCATCGTGATATTGATTTGCTCTCCCTCCCATTCAATGGCAACGCGGGGTTTACTTGGTAGAGCGAGGGAGCAGCGAAACTGATACGACTGATCACCTTGGATCTGGACGACCGAGTTGTTGGTGTACGAAGTCGTCCGGAAGTCTGAGACGACGAGACCCTGTATTGGAACTAAGGAGAAGAAAAGAAACGACTTAAGGAATATCATGATAATGCGACATTTTGTTGTAATTTTGTTGAAATGTTATTATAATTAGTAATATGTTCAATGAGTCCCTTTGCTATTCTGTTAAAAAAAAATCATGAATCAATTTCAGTTTATCTTCTTCTTCTTCTTCTTCTTCTTCTTCTTCTTCGTCTCATTATTATACATGTGATTATTTCTCTTTGAAATGTAATGCTTAATGTTTTGTTTGGCATCTCCAACAAAATCGTGCTTCTTGGAAAGTCTGTCACATCCGATCATTTTTTATTGTAAATATTGCAATACCATGTCTTCTTTTGTGTGAAAAGAAATTCATTAAAATGTTTTGAATTTGAAGTTAAACTTGAAAAACGCTGTCTAGCAGAATGTAAACAATATCACAAGCATTGAATCAATACAGACATATGGCCAAACCAAGAACGGAGATACATATGACCTTTGAGTTTCCTAGTTGCAGTTTAATTGATTCAACATTCTTTATTCCATAAAGTTTCCTTCACAGCTTTTATCCCTTCTAAACTATGTCCGCGAGAAAACCATGTAATACCGTGCATACGTTATGACATATGCTTGTTCAAGGGAAGAATGAAAATACAATACTCATACTGTTTTCAGAAAGTTGTGGGCACATATTATCCATGAATGTTATATAATTATGACAGTGTAAGGGTGAATTTAGACAAATGTGTATAGTGATGATCATGCACATTGTGCTTTATTATTCATAAGCCGGGATGGAGAGGCATGTGCCCCCTCCCGATCACCCACTGTATTCAGTATTATTTTGAACAACTTTAGACCAAGGTATTCTTATCTACGAGGTCACCAGCGCCAAAGTGGAACACACGATCTCAACAAAATATTGACTTTAGGGTAGGTGAGACAACAATGTTGTTGGATTTCTGCACACCACTTCCGAGTTAAACATCTACAAGTGTGGGAATTCGGTAAAAGATAAACATTTCACTGCGGCTAGCCCACTGAATTTCGGAAGAAAAGGAGGTTCGTTATTATCAGAGAGCATGTTAATGAGTAGCGTGTACAGCTGGCCAAAAGTTAGGGGAGGCGGTTTCCTTTCTCAAATTTGATGAATAGGAGGACTTTTGGAAGGGTGCTTACAATTTTGGTAAATGGGTTAAATTGGGGAAATAATCTACATAGTCCGGTCTTATTTGATAGGGAGTACCCATCCGCAATTTGGTTTAAACAAAACATAACAATAAATCCTGTACAAATCTCTTTACTGACTATCTGGATAAAAAAAAAGGGGGGGGGGGAAGAAAAAGAATAAGACCAAAAGATAATTACATTGAAATCTTCAAACATGTCGGGAATGGAATGGTGGTGTTACACGCAGACAAAAATATACTGGTCACTATGTCCATTTGAACTTTGTCATAGAGGTCAGGAACTATCTGACATTCTGGTCATTACGTCCTTTTGTCACTTACCATCTACGATGAGTTGAGTTGTGCTTGAATACACGACCAAGTCACTGGTCAACACAGAACACATGTACGTAGCCTCATCGTCTAGCCCCACCCCGAAAATCGTCAGGTTCCCACTCGAAGTCGTGTCAACGTTGAGGTCGTACTTGCCCGGTGAGGTCGCTGTTGATGCCTGCAGCCCGCATGACTGTTCGCATTCGTAGGTCAGGAATGCGGAACCGTCTTTCGACCACGCCAGGTAACCGAAGTCTTCGGGGGTAGTGTGAGGAGTGTAGGTGCAAGTGAGCTGTACGTCGGCGCCCTCTACAGCTGACCTTTGTGCAACCGTTGTCACGGTAACGGCGTCTGTAATTTAAGAGAAAACACAAATAAACAGTTACAAAATGAAATTCCTTGTAAATGCTTTAAATAAAACTAAACGTAACACACAAATCAAACGGACATAAACGCCTCCTGTTTTAGTTGTGCGGATTTCACCTCTGCAGAAAAGGACACATCATCAGACCAACATAAACCTATATACACTGTCAGGGGCGTACGCAGGATTTTTTCAAGGGGGGGGTTTTAAAATATTTTGCTCCCGAAAATTTGAAAATCGCGCCGGCCGAAAAGTCGCTCAAAAAAAAATTGCAACGACTCAGCCGGCAGAAAAGTCGCTCAGTGGGGGGGGGGGGGGGGGGGGGGGGGGGGGGGGGGGGGGGGGTAAGCGGACACTTTTTTTTTTTTTTTGGTCTCAAAATTTCAAAATTTGACATTTTTTTACGTATGGGGGGGGGGGTAAGGTCACCTTATTTAGGTTAGCCGTGGGTATAATTTTTTTTTTCTTTTTTTTTCTTTTTTTAAATAAAAAAATAACAAATAAAAAAAAGCCAAAGGGGGGGGGGGTTTTAGGTTTTTTTAGGGGGGTTTACATACATTAAAATACCAAAGGGGGGGGGGTTTGAACCCCCAAAACACCCCCCCTGCGTACGCCCCTGTACACTGTACAATGGTAAATGGTTGGTGCATCCACTATGGATGCTAATGGAATCGATCCTAAATGAAAATTTCTCGAAATATGAAATGTTAATGTTGGAGACCATGCATGAATTTAGTCCTATATATCTATATATCATCAAATGTTCGCTGCAATTGTATTTTTCTCTGCAACCAATTTGTCAGTACAACATTTCTTTTGTGTTCGCAAAAGACCAATAAATGCATCTTATCTTAATTGTTTAACAAATTTTCAGCATTCAGAATTCAGCAATAACTGACTTGACCACGTTGACGTGGATCAGATACCCACACCGTATTGCCTTATTGGGGCCATGCGTCATTTAAACATACGATTGGTCTACATATAAAGAATCAACACTTCTATATTTTTATCAATTTCAACATTATGATAGGCTTGTAATACTTTTAACTTTAAAAACTTTAAAAACTTTAAAAACCATAACAGAAATGAGACTTCAAATTTCAACGGAAGCGTTTTCATATGGCATTGACATTGGATATAAACTATGAGTGTTTGTATTTTCACATACAAATGGGTCGATACAAATGAAGAAAATCAAATCGAATGTGTTAACAACAAATTACAGTACATTCTCTAACCGCTTTAAATCCAACCACACAGATGACATCACGTGATTATTAATAAAAATGATATTGAATAAATTGCATTAATTATCTATGTAAGCCGAAAAGGAAAGTTGGTGAATTTTTCAATGTGGCCTCAATGACAAAGGATAGCAATGAAATCATAGAATATGCACATGACTTCCGAACACATCTTTCATTTCTGGATGGCGATTCATTTACGCAACAACAAACTTCAAGGGCCATTTCTATCAATGTTGCTTGTGACTCGTGACAGGATTTTTTGTTTTTCATTACTTCGTTTGTTTTCCTAGCGGAATGAAACAATACCTGTGTGAACCACATCAACAGTCCCGACTGCGAACATTCGGAACTAAATCCATTTTATTCATATATTTATTTTATCTTCATTTTTTTATATTTTATCATTCTTCCTTTTTTTTGAAGAATTTCTCGCGGGTTTTACGGATCTTAATAATCCCTAAAAGAAAGAAGAGAGAAAGCATATGAGAGAAATACATTAAATGTGCACCCACCCCCCCCCCCTCCCCCATCGTCTTCATGGTGCTACAATTAACGCCTAGCATGCCATTGCGCATCCATTATCTTGCTTTTGGTGCATCTCACAATTTAATTCTGAATACACAAGTACTAATATATTGGAGATAAGTTTCAAGTTTCAAGTTAGTTAATACAAATCCTCAAGGTCCGATTATCATCAGAAATGAGCAACAATACATTAGAACAAAATACATACATTTCCCGGGGGAAAATGAGATATGCTAACGATCATTAAGGATCGCACCAACATTATTTTCAGAGGTGGAGGGGGGAGGGGGTTACAGATTGATTCTCCCTACAATCGCTGCTAATGGATAACACAAAGAGAAAGGAACGTAAAAACAATGGTCTACTGGGAAATCTCAGGTTATACAAATGTGCATAAGTCAATCCACTTTCTATTCCTAATACTCTTTATCATATACTATACAAGCTTATCAAACTTATCAAACTACTTCAATGAAACCGACACAGGAGTCGGAAGTTTTTATTTCCTAAATGGACCTCATTTTAGGGAAAAAGCAACCTTGTGAAGATTGAGTGGTTGGAAGTCCCGAGGAAGGAACTCAAGGTTTCGATTCTCTCCTAGTCATGTAGATCTGATGGGTTTTGACAATGGGTAATAATGATAATGAGACTAATGATTTATGATAATAATAATTTTGTTTGCACATGGAGGCCTTATCAGCACCAATGCTGTTCTTTCTGAGGGCCCTGTAATTCATTATTACCACATCAATAGCCAGGTGCCTAGTTACACCTGGGTGGAGAGTGGCAAATGCGGATTAATGCCATGTCAAAAGACGTTAGTCTCGTACTGGGATTCGAACCCTCTAACCTTTGATTGAAAGTCAAGTGACAAAATCACTATACCACGACACCTCCACAGCCTATAAAGATGTAAAAGTTAAATTGGCACTCTAAACCATAAACCCTGAACCCGAAAAATAACAGGGCCTAATTTCAACAGGTCAGTGAAAGTATTAGCAAAAATTGTTGAACAAAATGAGAAAGTTCTTTCTGAAGGTGCGATCAATCGAAGACAATTACTAGGCAACTCTCTGACGTATCTTGAAAGCTCCCCTCTTATTGCCCTCTACTAAAAAAAACTGCCAAAATTTGTATTTTTGATACAACCCCTATGAAACAAATCAAATCCCACATCAATAACTGAGAAAATGAAAGTTTATGAAATTTTCTTGACAGCGCAAATTGGATAGGAGCTCACAAGATACGTCACAGTGTTGGCAATTTGTGTTTCGCTGATGACAACTTTAACAATTCATAACTTTGAAAATTTCCTATTTAAATCGGATATTGCTCAAACTTTCTCAAATTGAATACTCCGGGATCGAGAGAGACAAATGTAGATGAAATGCCTTATATGCATAGACACTTTGCGGGAATTTTCCAATTCCCCAGAGGCCTATAGTTTTCCCACATGACCACCAACAAAAACTCCCTATTTATAAAAGAGATATAAATGATAGGACAAGCATAATCATGATAGTTTCCATCTCATGACTTGATGGGATTCCCTTGACTATACAAACGGGGGAATACCCCAAGATATAGCGATTGTTTCGACATTTATGGACGAATAATCTCTTGAAGTGCTTCCTGTAAGGATGTCTTAATGAGGATGTAATGTCATTCGGCTGGCTGGTGTTTATGAGCACTTTCAATTTAGGGAAGCTCGACTATCTGTTACTTCATAATCTATGCTTTTCGAACTAGCAATAACCAATTAAACTGAACAAGACAATATAAAATCTGGAAATCCCCCTTCATTTTGTACAAGTAATGTTGATTTTGCAGACAATATGCGGGGAAATCTGTCAAGCGAATAACTTTTAAAATCTCATGAATTGGGTTTTAAGCCCGGCAGGAAGGATATTGTGCTCTGCCATCCAATATTTTTTTTTTATCACGACTGAAGAAAACTGTCAACGTTAGTGAATCTATCCCTGTTTCTTTCGTTTAAATTGTTTTAAAATGAAAAATTTAGACACATCATTAGAAAAGATAAGAATTCTTGAATATTGCTCTTTACCATAAAAGTTCTACCGTGAAAAATGCCCCATCCCATCCCATGCCCGAAACCAAACGCAACTTCAGCTTGAACTTGTAATTCGATGATGAACCATGACTTTAATAGTTCTTATTACATAATACTAAATATGAGTCGTCCTTAATTACTTATTTTGACTGGTTTCCAATGAATTCACGATTGAGGAGGCACCCACAACAATAATTACACGGGCGGTAGTGTTACAATTTTAGATCCATTAATAATTAAATGGAAAAGTGTTCGGGGAAATAACGGAAGAAGTTTTACCCTTGAAAAAGCTGGTATGACATTGAGGCTGTAATTAAAGGCTGTTTGTACAGCTATCGTGCTCTTTATTTCTTCCTTTCCTTTCCTTTCCTTTTTTCTTTCTCTATTTTTTTCTCTCCTTAAATTTTCCCACTCTTTCGAGATATACCTCATTACTGTATCTTTTATGTCCTTATTTCTTTTTATATTGTTTCTCTCCCTTTCTGTCAATATTAACCCTCCATAACGAATAAACACCACATACATTGCCAATTTAATGGTCTGATACTCACACCCATATCTAGTTTGGAGTTTGTTTTAATTTTGACCCTCTATGTTTGGATAAAACAGCAAAGCTATTTTTTTATTCTCAAAAAACCAATTCAAAGTCACCTACGGGGTTTGTTTTTCCGTAAGAGCTTCATTTGAAAAACAAATACTGAGCATAAAGTCAACGAAGATTGGGCTTGCAGTACATACCTTTTGACGGATGGGAGGGAGGGGTGGGAGGGGGGGGGAGGGGGTATTAATTTAACTTGGACGGGCCTTTTAGATTGGTGGTTAGATGAAAGTCGCATCACATTCACAATATTAGGATCATAATGTTTGCATTATACTGTCAATATTAAGCCACGACAACGAGTAAACACACACAATAGGTTGCCAATTGTATGGTCTGATACTCGCACCAACATCTAGTTTGAACTTTGACGGGTTCTTATTTTGACCTACCATGTTTGAACAAAGAAAAGGTAAATCTATTTTTGTCCTTGTTAAACAAAACTCAAAGTAACCTACATGTTTTACTTTGTTAGAACTCTATAGAAAAATGCCTGCTGTGTAGAGGTATAGCAAACACAAAATCGGGACTCGACCGTGGAGG